TTTTGAGGTTTGATACTATTCTTTGCTTTCAGTATAAGAAAAGTTTCAATACATTGTACTGGGGGATCAAAGAAGTCATCCACATATAGTACAACACCAATTCCAGAAAGTAGAGTCAACTAATTGAAAACCAGAAAATATTTTCTCTATTAAAAGCAGGATTTAGGGCTGAAGATACAGCTTGCAACTACAGAAACTACAGGGAAGCCAGTATTCATAACAGAGGGGGAGGACCAACACCCAAAGTACTCTTCTTACACCTACCCACACACTGTGGGACCCATGCGCCAGAATTCCCACACATGAACACAAGCACACACACACACACACACACACACACACACACCATACATACCCCATGTTCACAATTTCTTTTAAAGCAGGGGTCAATCATTGTTATTTAAAAATCTACTTCCTCCCCAATGGGTGTTGAATAAAGAAGTGTTCTATCCATTGAGTGAAGGGAAGAATCAAATTAAAACTGAACTTTCACAGTTAAGATTTATCTAACTTCTTTTTTGGTATTTATTAGAATGAAAAATTGTTTAGTTTTTCTAGATAGCAGCCCAATATTTTTGATCGGAAGTAGTTGCTTAGGAAGCAAAGAAACAACTTGAAAGACGGAAACATAAAAAGGGACATTCTGCTAGTCGTAAGATTGTTGTGGGGATTTATGCTGTCACTTTCCTCTTGGAGACAATGTGTGTTGCATATGTGACATTACTCAAGCTGGGAACCAAATGCCAGAAGATTAAGGAAACTATATTAGGGAATAAACAATGTAAAGCAAAACAAAACAATTGTTTCAAATTGCTGTTTGCATACGTCATTCTAAGAGAAAACATTTTAAAATAATAATAGCCAAAAAAAAAAAAAAAAAAATTAGAGGGTGCAGAAAAGGTAAACTCAATCAGAATTGATGAGGAAGCTGGCGTGGCACCCACTGTCCCAGGCTTAGGCAATGCCCCATTTCCTGAGCTCTATTGCCAGAGATGATTTTTGTTTCCATATTATCTTTGAAGAACATTGGTTTTTCTCTTTTCTGGTGAATAGGACCAATGCCTTCTTGATGTCCCTCCAGTTTACTGAAGAAGGGCATGAGAAAAATGTCTAAGCCACATTCTTGCGATCAAGGAGCATAATGAGTCCTGGAAGCTTCCAAGCTTTGTAGCAGTTGTCCCATAAAGTTTGACCACACCATGTTTTATACTGGAGGGAAAAAACAAAACAAACAAAAACAAAAACAAAAACAAAAAAACAGCGAGGGAAAATATAGCAGTTTCTCTGCAATGGTTAGGAAGCCCACTGCCTTCTCTCCTCTCTGTCACAGCTGCTGGCATCCTTTGTCACTGAATCAGCAGCAGTACAGAAACCGAGGGAGCTTCTGCAATGTCATGTGAAACCTTACTCTTGCCCCAGACATGTCCTTTTGATACAGCTTCCTGCTGATTTATGACCAGTTTTTTAAATGTTTTTATTACTTCACATAGAATAAATTTCTAAGCTATTTAAGGAAACAACTGGCTGATTTTCTTTTGAAATGCTACTTCCTATGCCTTGTCTCATCTCTGTCATATGAAGGAGAGAAGTGTGGCTAACATCTCCAGTGAAGTAAGAAAACATATGTTTCTGTTTTGTTTTGTTTTTTTCCTGAAGATTTCACTGTTCCTTAAAAGGTCCATGGGACTTCTTGAAAAATCTGCTTTATGAGGAGGTGACAATGGAACACAGAATTCACATGGTGACGTCATCTGATGATGGGATAGTTGTTAGACACGAGGCTTAAACAATCTCTTATGTTGTGATGCATATGTGTGGTATATGTATGTGTTCATGTGCATGGTGTGTGTGTGGGGGGGTGTGGGTATGGTGTCCGCTTGTGTAAGTATGTGTGATGTATGTATATGGTATATGTGTTTGGAGAATGGGGGGTTGCATGTGTGGTGAGTGTGCCAGTGCATGAGTGTGAAGTCCAGAAGAGGATGTTGGGTGTCCTGCTCTGTCACTCTCCATATTATTCTGAGTCAGAATTTCTCACTGAAGCTACAGTTAGGCTGGCAACCAACAAGCCCCAACAATCCTCCTGTCTCTGCTCCCCCAAAAGTGTTGGGATGACCTGGTTGGCTTTTTACATGGGTGCTGGGGATTTGAACTCAGATCCTCATGCTTGTGCATTGATTACTTTAATCCATTGAGCTATCTCCCCAGCCACTGTTCTGACATTCTCTAATGTTAGTATGACAGTAGGAACAGCTGTAAAATCTGAATTCTTTTTCTGTTTTTTTTTTTTCTTGCATTTACATCTTTGTATATATTCACATGTGTGGAGGCCAAGGTCCCTGTTGGATGCCTTTCTCAGTTGCTTTCCTTTTTTAGTTTTTGAGCTCAGTGATTGGCTAGACTTGCTAGCTAGTGAGCCCTAGGGATTCTGCTGCATCAACCAGCCCAGCACTGATGGTATGTATAGCCATGTGCTGCTTCATCCTTTACAGAGACTCTGAGGGATGGCATTAAGACCCACACACTCTACTCGTTGAGCCATCTCTGCAAGCCTCTTTTCATTTTCTTGAAACCTTTATTTCCTGTTCATTTAAAATTAATTTTTTTAACCAAATGATAATTGTAGATTCACATGCATTCCTAAAACAATGATGATGATGATGTGCAACCATGCAGTCTCTTCTTAACTTAACCTCCCCCAATTGGCAGCCTCCTGACACACAATGCAGAGGCCAAGTGTTGACATTGATAGTGAGAATGTAACCATTCTGTCACCACCAACTCTTGCTGAGGTTTATAAATGTGTGAACTTTCTTACCTTTACCCTTACTGTTTCTAGAGAATCTCTGCTAACCACTATTCCCCTGCTTCCCACTCCAGTGATGTTGAGATACTGCTTGTGAGGGTAGATGGTGAAGTATGTATGAAACACTCAGCGCTGTGCCTGACACCTGCTTGGTGATCCTGAAACAGAGATTGCTATTGTTATAATAAGGGAATTGATAATGTTACAATGCCACCCTATAATGATAATACCTGCAGTGTGTCTCAGACAGTTGATATTCTTGCAGCCTAAATCTGACAATCTGGGCTTAAAATGTAGAAAGAGAGAAGCATTTCTACAAGGTTATTTTCTGACCTCTACACATTTACTGGCATATACCCAGCGAATATATACATTCATAAAAATAATTAACACATTAATAAAAAACTAATTTAAAATAATTGTAACAACCTATATATTGTCTTCTCTAATAATCAAGCTGTTGGGCTGGAGGGATAGCTCAGCCGTTAAAGGCTAGGCTCACAACCATAAATATAATAATCAAGCTGTTACGTGATTTCAGAGGAAACCCATACAGAGAAGTCTATCATTTATAGAGTGATAAGATACATTTTGCCACAATAATAATGTTGATTTACCATGGGCTGAGTCTACAAATTAGAGAATGGGAAAAGGACAATGAAACAGCTTTAATGACTCCTTTCTTGTCTAGACATCTCAGAACACCAACTACTATAAAACTGTAACCACGAACCCAAGGTCATCGCTGACCATTTGAGAAGGCCACAGACTTGAAGGCAAGGTTTTTAGAAATGGAGAAAATTCTATTCAGAAATCCAGCAGTCCAAAGATGGGAGCTATCGCTAGCAAAAATCCATTTTGGTTAGGGCCTGAAGGTGCAAGACCCAGATAGGAATTTTAGAGAGGTATGTCAGATAGGTGGGTACTAGGAGAGTCACAAATTTAAGTGGTCTGCTTTTCCAATGCACAAACTGCTGTACCCTGGGTTGCGGTGGTCACTAGATGTCTTGACTTCTTTAAATATAAAGAATAGTTAGTTATTAGAAAGTCCTGTGCTAGCTGGGTGTAGTGGCGTCCACCTTTAATCCCATCAGGCAGGAGGCAGAAGTAGGCAGATCTCTGTGAGTTTGAGGCCAGCCTGGTCTACATAGTAAATTTCAGGACAGCTTGAGCTACAAAGTGAGATCCTATCTTGCAAAACAAACAAACAAACAAAAAACCCAAAAAACAACAACAACAACAAAAAAAACCTCAAGCCTTTTTTAGTTCTTCTCAAGCATAGGTAATACTGTACTTAGTCACTTAAAATATATCTTTAATTGGAGAACAGGGGAAGCATTGGTCCCCTCGTGAGGTGGGAAGGCAAATGTCACTCTCTTCTGATAGTGAAATACAACTTTTCTTAGAATGGCTGTAATCTGCTAGGTGTCTTTAGTTAGTGATGATACCGCCAATGATGGCCCCTCCAGAACCTTCAATCAGTGGGAAACCAACAATGAATATCACACTGCTCTACTCTGTCACCTCCAAAGTGAGTGGAGGTGATTTAAAACCAGCTAAAAGCAGAGCTGGGGAACTTATATTTAGGTTTTCCCTCATTATAGTTATAGTTAGAAGAACATCTTAACAGATGACTCTCTACCTTGCTTCCTAGATTGGAGAGCAAGTACTTCATAGAAGTTAGGGGCAGAGCCCTACAAAAAATTTCCAAAAATCAGAAGTAGGAAGACTATAATAACGAACTGCTACATGGTCACCATTCAACTTAAAGAAATATTAATCTCATTTTCTTAAAAAACAATTTTGAATCTGAGAGTGATACCATTTATATGCTTCACAATGTTATTCCAACTAGCATCTCAGAGAGCAAACCCAGGCAAAGAGGAAAAACAGAAATCAAAAGAAGGGTATATAGTATGAAGAAACAAAGGCAGGTTGCCAATCAATGCCTAAAATGAAGAAAATTTGCTCAGATTCTTTTTCTTTTTCAGAACAGCAGTCTGGAAAGCACAGACTTATTTTGAAGGGACTCTGTCCCTTTAAGTTGCTTACTGATCCCACCCAGATCTTGCACCTTGGCAAAATGCCTACCCACTCTAGTAAACAAGAATAAGGAGATGCAAAAAATTATTTCCCAGAGAACAGAACAATATCAAATAGCTAACTGTATCCCTAATCATAGTCCTTGCTGTGAGCATCTACTGCACTGGTCTGTCTTTCCTGTTTGAGAATTTGCCTAAGGTAAGACACAGCTGCTTGCTTTTCATTCCTTAACTCAGGACCTTCCAGGAACCCTGCAAGGATAAATGACTGATGTTCTGGTCATGTGAAGGAAGCTTATTGAAAACTTTGCCCTCTGTTGTTATTCAAAGCCAATTGTTAGCTAAACATGAATAACTGCTAAACTAAACTAAAAGTAGTTTTAAAGGTATTTAATTCTTTGTTTTGCAAATTTTATTCTAAATTTACAGTCTACTAAACTGTACTGCAATGTTGTTCACATCTTTGGCAAATTTTTTAAATTTGAAATTAATTTCTATAATTCACGATTAATCACAGAATATTTTTATCATTTTACTAGAAATTTGAATAAAGAATATCTGATCATTTTGTCTTCATGCAGAAGCTAGTAAAATGCAAAAACTATGAAAAAATTAATAAAATCCACAGAAAAATTATTTTATTCCTGAAAAATTATAAAATACAAAATCTCTTGAATGCATTGACCCTTATATTCACCTGAAAAAAATTTTAGGAAGAATGTCAAAATACGGTATTTGCCAAAAGATCTGTATTCATAAAATTTAGCCTATATTAACATAGAGGTTTATAACTTCTTTCATTTAACTAATTCATTTTCCATTCCTTCTAATCCAATTGTACATCTTCCTGAAAGATAAGAATAAAAATGAGAGCAATAGAACACGCTGTAAGTGATTAGAAGTGGGTGGGCTCTCAAAATGTCAAACTAACAAAGTCAAAGAGTTCAGGAAGGTAATAGACTAGAAAAACTAGCGAACAAAAAATGGAAGGTCAGGAGAGTGCTCAAGGAAGCAAAAAGCTTTGCCTCAGGGGGCGAGCGAAGAGCCGCCAGAAGAAGTCACACACACAGATATTATCATTACTGCAGGGATTGAGCTGTGTCCGGGACTGTCATCCCCATGAGGGTTGAGCTATAAATTCAGAACCCTAAGCCAAGAAAACTACATGTTCAGGTGCTTCGTTTTATTTGAAGCCAATAGTTCGGAAGTCCTTACATCTCATTCTGTCAGTGTCTCACTCCCAGAACTTCTAAGATGTTCCTCATGGCGTGGACTTGAGCCAAGGGAAAACACCAGTGTAACACTGATTTCTCTTCTCTTCTGAAATTGCAGTAGTAGCTGTGTGTGTCTATGTGACTCTATCTTTACACTAACCTTTGGAAGTAAAGTTGTAGTTCTTTCATGTTCTTCTTGGTTCAAACAGAGATGCCGATTGCATGTTCTATTTCCTTGGTACAGTTCTGGCGGAAAGGGGGGTGGTTGTTTGATTGTTTGTTTGTTTTTGCTGTTTTTCTTATCATAGTATACCTGATCTGACATTTAGCCAAGTGTGCTTGGTGCACGGGCCAGCACAGGTGCTTGTTCGCACAGAAGTGGCGTTGTCTTAGTAAATGTTCTGCTTCATGCTATTTGAGGAAGAGACTGTGGCCTGAAGCCAGCCATTGCTTTATCGCCAACCTAACAATCTTGCTTCTTTGGGGGATTCATTTTTCTGGCATGGATGAAAGAAGTCAGTCTCCCAGCTCACTCATCATGGCCTTTGCACGTATATCCACCATCTACTGAGCATCTGGAAAATCATGGTCATTAATTTCCAGTTCACATTCTTGGGAGGCAAGGTGCCAAAGGAGGAAATTGATTCCTTTTCCAGACCTCCTTGAGTTAAAGCAGCTGAAGGAGGCAAACATGCAAAACCATGCAGATTGTTAGTTCTAAATAAACGTTTTGTTCCCGATCCCTCGGGCATCCGGAGCTAGCAACATACGGGTCTCTCTTTGTCAGGGAATTCTGGTGATTTAAGCATCACTTTGTGTGTAGCCGGGCATATTAGACTGATACAGATGAGTGAGAATTTTAATACAGAATTAAAGTTCTCGTTGTTTAGCTACCTGGGAAAACAGTTTCACTGGGTTGTTTGAAGGGTAGGCCTCCTGATTTCTAGTCTTTTCCCGTGTATTGTTTGCAAGTTGCTTTTAAGCAAATCTATGGGTTTTTGTTCTCATATTCTTTAGATTCATCAGAAGAGTAGAAAGCAAGAGTAGAAAAGAGAAAGGAGTTAGGGAAAGCTGAGGAAGAATTTAATTCTGATGTGAGTTTTGAACTCATTGATGAGTTTTGAACTCATTCTCAGTAAGGCTAAAAATGGTAGAGTCTGTGTATGATCCAAGGAAGGGACAGATTTGCTAAGAATCAGTAATAATGAAAATGAGTGGAAGAAACATTCAGTCATCTGAACTCACTCTGAAGAATCTGAAAAGGACAAAGCAGGTACTGTGATAGAACCATAATCTCCAAACAGTGTGGGACTGAGACATTGATTAATGGATTTCCTTACTCCATGTTCTCCATAATATAATGAGAAATTAGTGCTGCTTAAATATAGCTATTAAATATAAATGAGTATTTACATAGAAATGTTTCATCATGGTACCACGGCTTGCTTAGGTTACAAGTTTTAAAAATCTCAGTATATTTTACCTAAAACGTGAAGATACTTGTGTGTGTGTGTGTGTGTGTGTGTGTGTGTGTGTGTGTGTGTGTATTTGAGTGAGCAGAGGACAGCTTGCTGAAGCTAATTCTTTCCTTACACTACATGGAGACAAACTCAGTTCGTCTTGCTTGGTGCCAAGTGCCTAAATTCACTGAAACACGTAGTTGGCCCTTATGCCAGTTTTTAACACTACAAACTCAAAATTATTTATTTATTTATCCCCACTCTCTGGGTTTTTTTTTTTTTTTTTTTTGGTGTGTGTGAGGGGATTCCTGAATATGAGAATGAGCGAGTCTCTGTTTCTTGTGCCCTCTCTTGAGCTCTTTTCTGTATATTTCTAAGTTTGTTCTGTTCAATTTCAATGTGTTAATTTTGTCATATCATATCATAGTCCCTTAGAAGCCTGTTTGTTTTCTAATAAGAGGCAGAAAGGGGATCAATTCTGATGGAAGGGGAGTGCAGAAAGACCGGGAAGAATAGAGGGGGAAACCATAATCAGGTTATGAGAAAAATATATTTTCAATAAAAGAAAAAAAAGATAAACATTGCCCTTTATGGGGATATTTATAACTGGATTTTCCATTTCAAGGTGTTACCAGGCAGATGAATTTTCACCATCTACCATAATGAGGAAAAGAGATGCTGCCTTCTGTCTTCTGCTTTTGCCAGCGTTTATGACTCAAGCAGTACATGGACAAAGAAAGAAAGGACCAAAGCCAAACATACTGGCAAGGAAAAATGACATCCGGGGTAAAAAATAGAGTGTTTTAAAAAAAAGTTTTAGTTTTAGTCTGTGAAAGCACTAATATAAAAGTATAGTGTTTGATATAAGTAGAAAATCATATGTATGTATACATAATTATATCATGATAGTAATAAACTCTACATATTTAGATCACCTCAGACATTTTAGAGTATTGTGCATGTGTTATGTCATTTGAACTCCACATGTATAATAGGAAGAACAGAGACAGCCACTCTCACAATATGGATAAACAGGTTCAGAGATCTTAAATGGCCATTCAAGGCCATAAGCAAATAAGCTATTAAGAAACTGATTTAGGATTCACATACAACTCTACTTTCAAATAAGTTTGTTTTCCTGTTGTTATTCCTACAATGAATGTAGGTATTTTTCTCATTTGATTTCAAGGCCCTAATATGACATAACCCAATTATTAAACAGAATGCTTTGATTTACCTTTAGACTCCTTTGTCTAGAATTTTTAATTGTAAAAATATATCACATTTCCCCTTTTTATGCTTTAAGTGGGTTTACAAGAGGGAAAATATGACACTTTTATTTGTTTGGTCTTGCTTTTCATTTAATGAAAGAAAAATATTTTGTAGACTTAGAAAGATATTTAATTTTGTACAAATTAATTTTAATCTTGAAGGCAGTCTGTCATCTTTCAAGGTGTCTCTCACAGTTACTTCTCTCTTAGAAGCAAAACAATTGGGGTTCTGATTATGTGATGTTGCATGTGAGGAGGGACAATTGTGTCACACAACCTTTGCGTTCTCTTTCAGACTCCATTTGCTTCATCGATGTTGCTTTTATCTTGGACAGTTCTGAAAGCTCTAAAATTGTCCTCTTTGATAATCAAAAAAATTTTGTGGACAGCTTGAGTGAGAGGATTTTCCAGTTGACTCCTGGTAGGTCACTGAAATATGACATCAAGTTGGCAGCCCTTCAGTTTAGCAGCTCCGTCCAGATTGATCCACCCTTTTCTTCTTGGAAGGATCTACAGACATTTAAGCAGAGGGTCAAGTCTTTGAATTTAATTGGGCAAGGTACCTTCTCTTATTATGCCATCTCCAATGCCACAAGGCTGCTTAAGAGAGAAGGACGTAAAGATGGTGTGAAAGTGGCTTTGTTGATGACTGATGGCATTGATCATCCCAAGAGTCCAGATGTCCAAAGTATTTCTGAAGATGCTAGAATTTCAGGAATATCATTTATCCCTGTGGGACTTTCCACTGTGGTCAATGAAGCCAAACTTCGCTTGATATCTGGGGACTCATCCAGTGAACCTGTTCTACTATTGAGTGATCCAACTCTTGTAGACAAAATCCAGGAACGTCTGGTAGGTACCAAGAGGGTCAAATATATATTGTATTTTGATATCTTAGACTTACACTATTAAAAAATATATACAAAATGTTGACAAAGTGGGATTCTTAATGGACATAAGGCACCAATCTTTCTGGAGCCTCTTTTCACTACCTTGACAATTTACTGGGAATGTGTGATGTTTGTTCCCTGAAGTTTCATCCTTAACTTTGTCACATGCTGAGGTTTTTGGAAAGATTACTTTTAAAGCATACACCATACTCTCCTGTCTATTCACCCTAAGATCATGTACATAGTTGACATATTCAGTTTGTTCTCAATTTGTAGTCTGATTTATTTGTTCTAACTTTATCCTTTCTCATTTCCCATTTGCAGAATTACCTTTTACTGTCTTATCTATTTCTATTATATACTCCTTAAACATATTTATTTTTTCTCCTTTTATTTCTTATATGTTACAAGCCTGTCTATACTACTTTTCCTATTGTCTGAAACAATTATTTTGGCTCATGAATTGAGGGGATAGTCTATCATGGTGTGAAAGTATGGTGGCAGAAGTGTAAGGTATCTGGTCACAGTGTCCATAATCTGAAAACATAAGGAAATGGATGCTTCCATCAGCTTAGAGTTTCTTTTATAGAGGCCAGGATTCCAGTCTATGGATGCTGCTGTCCACTTTTAGGGTGGGTCTTCCTGCTTTAGTAAACCTAAACTAGAAACTCCTTCATAGACAAGCACAGAGGCATATCTCCTAGGCAATTCTAGATCCAGTCAAGTTGACAATCAGCATTAACCATCACATGATCTGCTTAAAATCACCTGTAGTCAATCGATGATTTTTTTTGTTTTTGTTTTTTGTTTTTTGCATCAGAGCAGGTAATTCTTCTCTTTGTGTTATTGGCTACGACAGTGCTGTCTACCATCTTCCTGGAAGAGCTTTCCCTTGCTGCTTTGGGAAATGAGGCAAAACAATCAAAATGAAATCTCTCTTTACAATGTTTCTCAAGGAGAAAAACTCCCAGATAGAAGCTGGCTAATTGGTTAAGTGTTTAATATTGATTTTCTAAAACCAAACAAAAAAACACCGATTAAAAGTTTTTCATAGATAGGATGCACTTATGTATTAAGAACACACACATATAACAACAACAACTAAGGAAAAAGTGGGCAGCCATGAGTCTGCGAGAGAGTAAAGCTGAGATGGGGGTGGGAGTATGTAGGAAGTACTGGAAGAAGAAAAAGAAAGGGTAAAATGACATGGTTATATATTTAATTGCGAAAGCTTAAATGTTCTTTTCTTGAGAAGGCAGCAAGGTGGAAATGTCCTTTGGGCACTTGTAATCTAATCATTTCTCTTTAATATTTTCTAAACATTGCGAAGAAAATTCAAGCTTATTCCAAAGATTTTTTTTTTTTTTTTTGATTCTTTTGTCCTCTCCCCATCTTTTCTCAGGATTTAACTTTTAATCTGAGTTGAAAACAAACGCACGAAGCATGTTTTTTTCAGTAAAGAATGTGTGGAGTGCTGTCCGGCTTTCCGTGCTGTTGGCACTGCTCTGAGAATTCCTATGTTTTATATAATCTTTTCAAGATTTATTTTATATGTATGAGTTTTCCCTATATGCATGTATACAAAGCACAGGTCCTTGAAGGTCAGAAGAGAGCATTGGATCCTCTAAATCTGGAGTTAGAGGTGGCTGTGAACCACTTTGTGGGTACTGGAAACCAAACTTGAATCCTCTGCAAGAACAACACATGTTATTACCTGTTGAATAATTTCCCTATCCCCTCTATGCTTTATTTTGTTTAGTCTATCACAATCATGATGTAGGTTAATTACAATGTAAGATGATTATTATCACCCCATTTTATTGCTAAAGAGCTGAAAACGTAAGGCTCACCAAGATTGCACTGCAGGTATGCTTAGCCCTGAAAAGGCATACTGAAAGAGGAAATCACAATGAATTTTGAAAATTTGCTCAATCAGAACTGCCCCTAGACTAGCAACATCACTCTTCCAAAGTTACTATTGTTTCTTACCTCTTCTCTCTGGGCATTGAGGCTGTTTAGACTGGAGTCAGTCTATGGTTGCCCAGCCCATGGTTCTCAGGTGAGTCTGGCTAGGAGCAGATCCATCAAAGAAAAGGGAAACTTGTCACCTTGTGAGGACAAATACCTAGCCCTGCCTGTGCCCCTGGTTCATGGAGTCCTCATCACTCAGCTGAAAGTAAGGCGTTCCATTATGTATAGAGGAGAATCCTGGGAAGGTGGACACTTACTGGCCTATTGGTCCTTCCCTCTGTTCATCTCTAGAGTGAGAAGAGCTCATTTCTGAAGGTACAGAGCAGGCAGCTCCTTGTTTGGCCGATGTTTGGGCTCAGGATGTTGCCACCCCCTCTAAACACACCCTTGCTGAGATTCCTGCCCAATTGAAGTCAAGAGTTCTTGGCAGTGGACTGGAGCTGGGGCTGTTTGTTTCTGGGGAAACAGAAAATGACCATCAGGACTCTGCTTCCTCAGCATCCTGTGACTTCAGCTTGTTTGTTCAGGTGTTAGTTCTGTGAACCTCTCCTGACAAAGGGGGATGGGGCTACCCGAACGCACCCCGGGTCCAAAGTTCTTATTCAGCTTTGAAAAGAATGACACACCAACATTGAGTATTCGCATTGCCCCTCCCCATAAAACAAGTCCTGATTTTTTACCGGATCATTGGTGAATTCCTCATTTAATCAATGACGATTAACAATGTTTATTACATTATTAGTTGACAATTTTATTTTGAAACTTTTATGTGGTTAGGTTTTTAAAATAATTTACTATAATGCATTAATTACTTAAGTGCACAATTCCATGAGTTTTGGCAAGTAAACATATTATACAATCACAAACACAATTAGAATACAGAAATTTCCATCGCTTATAATACCTATTTAAATTTCTTTGTGATCTCTCTCTGTCTTTCCCTCCCTTTCTACAGAGCTACTAGCCTGACTAGAGGTTCATTTCTGTTGCAGAGTTTATATTATTTCAAAGGCTTTTGGTGTTGTTGTTATGGAAATTGTTGGCCTTTGCTCCTATCTCATTTTTATGATATTAATAACTTTGTCAATTCTTCATATTTCCTCCCTCCCTCTTTATATCATTGGCCTTGTATTCATTCCCAAAATTAGCTGTTCCCTTCCAGCCTTCTATTTTGACCACTATCCCTTTATACAAATCTGAATCCACTGACAGAATGTACTTCTTTTATTTTAGTGAGGACATTTCTCTATTTATTCTGGCCATTGATGCTCATGTTTCAACAGAACTTACAAGCCATAACTCAAACTGAAATTTGTAGACCTCCTTTTGAAGATGCCCACACCCTGGCTGTGACCCTGTGTGCTTTTCCAGTCATTCTCAAAGCCAACTTCCTCATCAAGGATGGAAACCCTGCTTCCCAGTGATCTGTTCTCTGGACCCTTCTGTCCTCCCTTTGAATATCTGTCCTCACTGCTGCCCTTGTCTTATTGCCCACACCAGTCTTTATGACTCTTTCCCCCACAAACTTTGACATATAGAGCAGCATACCATTGGGGTGTTAGTTGGTCCCTTGCGTTCCTTTCTTCGGAATCATCCAGAAGCCCCACCTATTCCAAGAAACCGTTACTGACTCCCACTCTCATCATTTAAGACTGCCTACACTGCTTTTGGCATGTTGTACTCAGTGGAGGTTTTCGACTGTAAGTGCCCTTAGGGATGGGGCTTTGTCCTTTGTTTGTAACAATCTTATCTATTATGAGTTTTGGGTCTAGTTGTGTTTCTGTAAAAATACAAATTCCAGAAAAATGTAAAAACAAGTGAGCTATGAAAGTAGTTATGTCATTTAAGTGCTAAAGGAAAATACAGTGAAGCAAAATTGGCTTTTCAAAGGGAAATCTGGAAAAAGGTACAAACACGGCAAAAGAATGAGTTTTAAAACCACTAAGGTAAGGATCCAAGGGTGGTGGCTCATGGCTGTAATCTTAGCTCTTGGGATGCTAAGGCATTGAGGTCACTCTGGACCACACAATGAGCTCTAGCTACCTTGAGCTACATAAGCCCTTTTCAAATAAAAAGCCCATAAAAATTTTAGATATGAGCCAGGCAGTGGTGGTTCATGCCTTTAATCCCAGCACTCGGGTGGCAGAGGCAGGTGGATCTCTGTGAGTTCAGAGCCAGCCTGGTTTACAGAGTGAGTTTCAGGACAGAGAAAGATGTATTATTATTTCTACATCAAATCATATTTATAATAATATTTTTATCATGACACATATATTATTTTTATCATTTAACTCCTCCTAGGTAGCAAGTTACAAATGTAGTATTCTATAAATAATGCATATTGTTATGGACTACTCAAAAGTTTCACAAAATATTTTAATACTATTTAGATGCAAAAGATGCAGCTCTTTTCCTTATATTGGGCTTTTTAAAGTAAAATATCATATTTGGGTCTCTTTAAAGTTTGAGTGAAAAATCCTTTCTCCTAGTAATCACAATAGCAGGATTGTGGCTTCCTGTGTTTCAGATCATCTTGAAAGATACCACCAGGATTATAATATTCTTTTTTTAGTGTTAATCTAATTTTATAAGACCTACTAATACTTTTACAAAAAGATGATTCCCAAATCAGTGTTTTAGTGCCAAAATCCCCCAAATGCACATATTTATAGATCTGAGGACAAGAAAATATATAATTATATATTTGCTTAAGTCTTTGTAAGCAAAAGTGAGACGTTTCTCATTATAGTCAATTAAACTCGGAGCTAAATTATGGATATAATTAGAATTGATCAAAGAAACAAAATAAGTAATAGAACTGGTCAAAGCAACACAAGGTAAAGCATAGGATGCAGTAGGATAAAGTTCCTAGGAAACAGAGTAATTTTGAACGTTAGTGCCCCTCATGTCTCCTATTATTACATGGCTGAGAGAGCTCCTGGGGTGGTAGGCTGCCTGGTTGTATTACTTAAAATGTTAAAAAGCTGAATTGCTATTCTTCTTGGAAATTGCATATCCCATAGAGAATAATTAAGATGAATAAGAAGATGGAAGCATAACTATTAATGGAGTTAATGTTTCATTCTTTATTTTTCCTTCTAGGATGTCTTATTTGAAAGGAAGGTAAGCACCACACACTTTATTACAGTGAATTACTCTAAAAACCTGGATTAGCCCTCCAATGTTGTGATTCACATCAGGTGTAACTAAATAAAAATGTCTAATTCTTTGAGGAAGCCACATGATCTTATTTTTTAAGCCTCTGTGTTTCAAATGTAGTTTAGAAAATTTTAGAAAAAGTAGAAAATGTTTAGTGGGATTTGAGAGATTGTTTTAGAGATCAGTGCTACCAACTGACAAAATTTCTCTTTACTTTGGCATGGATTCTTTTATTCTAAGCAGGGATCAGACACTAGCTGCTTGCTGGAGTCCTCTGATTTAGAAGCTACTCCTGCTATTGGCCAGCATCCATCTAGTGCTCAGCTTCCCGCTCTTTGCTGGTTGGACTTGAAGCCTATTCACTTCTTTATTTTGAAGAGAACTGAGCCAGATGAGAACAACCAATCAGAGCACATTGTAAAGGAGGCTAGATAGTAACCATCCATTGGAAAGGACATAGGATACAGTTGTGGTTTTTTTTTTTTTTTTAAAGTGGTTATGAACATGCCAAAGATTCATGAGCTAGACTTTCTGCACCATGAAAAGCACAGATGACATGGAAGCATTTGTTAAATGTGGTTTGTAACTTTTGAAGACATGCAGAGAAAACAATGACTTTGTCATGTTTGAGTCTGTTAGAAAGCTACCATAAGACTCATTCTGTTTTCAGAGACCTGAAAATAAAAACAAATGTGCACCTTGAATTGATAAAATGTGGTTCAAATCATGTTTTCTTTTGCGAGTATGGAGAAATTACTGTTTACATATGACTGAGCTATGATATGTTATGTAGAAGAGAATGAGTAGAAATTCCAAAATTTTATAAAAATGCTTATTTTTCTATTTTAACTAGTCTTTTTCTGTAAGTACATTGATAAATAGATGGTAGAACATTTGTTTTTCTTAACCATGGTGAAAGTTAATACTTCAATAGCTCACCCATCCTGTTTGCCTTGAATAATTTAATAGAGAAACTTTTTCAAGGGAGTTTCAGTTAGTTACATAACAACTAAGATTTGGTCATGCTAGCGCACGCTGCATTCCACTGTGTACTAATATTGTGTTTCTTGTTGATTCAGTGTGAACACAAGATCTGTGAATGTGAGAAGGGAGATCCAGGTGACCCAGGGCCTCCTGTGAGTAGATGTTTATGTTGAACTTGGGTTTGATGAAGACAGTGGTGAAATTATTTCCACAAAGGGCTTTTCAGTGTTGTTTCTCATTTGATAAATGGAGCCAGAATCTCTCAATGATGAGACAAAAACACAGAAAGAGTTAATAGAAGACACTGGTGGTTTAGGAGATGCTCTGTCTCAACAGTGATGCAGCAACAATGCCATGTAGCCTCCTGGAGAGGAAGCTGCTTAGGATGCTTGGGAAATCAGGTGAATTCCTAAAGATGAAAGCACCCATTTAGCCAATGAGGCACAGTGGTGGGAGTCACCGCAATTACTGATCTCTGACAAATACTGTCAGAAAGCATCGACTCCACTCATTCACTTCCCTATGTGATTGGAAATGTTAAGGGTTTGGAAGGCAGAGAATAGGTTTCACAAAGTATATGGAAGACCTGTTTTGAGCAGGAACTTGTATTTGAAAATGACAACACATACATTTGGATGAATGTGACATATTTTACCTAGAGTCTTGGGTCCAGACTTCACAATTTTTCGAATAATCAAGAGTTATTGGACTGTGGGAATTTATTTCTCATGAGATTCTATGAAGAATGGGTAAGAAAACTTACTATCAGGAGCCAATTGACATTTCCCACCACTCAGTACTGTCATAACATGAATCATTTCATGTTTATTTAGTACCCTCACAACTAGTTCTCAGGAAAGGAGGGTTTTGGGTAGTATTTGGTACAGGATGGAAGAGTTACCTTTTCTTATATCTGGATCTGGTCCCCTAGATCAGAACCTCTATGATCTTAAGCAAGCAAGCTGGCTCAGTAGTGGTCTGTTTGGTAATGATCCATAGCAGCTCAGGCCCAAAGCCACTCACCTCATGTCTATCAAAAGCTTTCTTGAGTTTAATTTTGTTTGGGAAGATGGATGAGAAGTAATTAAGGAAGAATTCAGTTGGAAAGACAGATATTATTTTCTTTTGAGCATATGGAAAGTTTTCAGTGTTCCTGGTACAATAAGTGGGGGGGGGGGGCAGAGTTGAATATCTGCTTGCCTGGTTAATACTGCAAAATGTTCAATGCAGCTGGTCAAATTATTCAAAAGCATAGAAAACTAATAGAATACTTAATAAAAATAAGCATTTTTCCTTTTACTTTCAGGGTACCCATGGGAACCCTGGTATCAAAGGTGAGCGAGGACCAAAAGGAAATCCGGTAAATGAATAAAAAGTTTTCTTTGATGCTAATACATCTTATATATTTATTTAGAGAATATCTTGGTAGGTTTCTTTTGTTTCTGACAACTTTACATAATCTAGCATTATTTGGGAAGTCAATCCTCAATTGAAAATAAAATGCCCCCATTAGATTGCCTACAGGCAAGTATATAGTGCATTTTCTTGATCCATGATTGAAGTGGGTGGGCCAGTCCCATAACACATACCACCCCTGGGCAGGTGGTCCTGAGTTATATAAAAAAAAGAGTCTGAGCAAGCTGTGAGAAGCAATTCAGTAACAGCTTTCCTCCCTGGTCTCTGCTTCAATTCCTGCCTCCATGTTCCTGCCTAAAATTCCTGCCCTGACTTCCTTCAGGGATGGAGTCCTTTCCTTACCAAATGTATTTAGGTCATAGAGTTTTAATCCCAGAAATAGACTGTTACGAGTAGTTTTTCCACCAGCCTGGTCACACAGCTGTGTCAGACCCAAATAACACACAGAGATATTGTATTAGATATAAAGCTGTTGGCCTGTTACTAGTGTTTCTTATCAGCTAGCTCTATCTTATATAGTAACCATTTCTATTAATCTAAGTGTTTGCACATGGTCTTATCTTATTGGAGAGAGGGTTTGATACTCTGCTCTTTTGGTCCTACATGTTGAATCTCCTCCTACCTCTTCCTGAATCCTCGTCTCCTAGTCCTGCCTATCTTGCTTTCCTATTGGCCAACAGGGCTTAACCAATATAAGAAACATATTTACAGAATGACATCTCCCATCAATAGACACTATAACTAAAATTAAATTAGTCTTGATTAACTGGGAACTCACTCTGTAGCCCAGGTTCAGAGTCTTGAGTGCTGGAATTAGAGGCATGTGCCACCACATTCAACCAATTTAGTCAGTTTCTGTTGTATATGAAAAGTTTTCACAGCTGATAAAGAAACATCAGGCTTCTATTGATTAAAGAGGCAAATAATTCAAACCATTTAAAAAGGAAATAATAAAGGAGGAAATGGACATTTTTATTAAGTAAGTAAAAGAAAATGACTAATCAAAGGATCCTCTTAAATAATAACTATATTTGGGATGTTTGGATCCCACAGAATTTTTTTTTAAAGAAACAATTTTTTAGTTCATACAGTCTTGATTTTTGGGTTTTTGAGTTTCAAGAAATGTTCCTTTTCTTCTTTCTTCTTTTTTCTTTACAGCAACGGAAGCTGCAACTTTAAGTAATACTAACTAGTGATTGTGGTGTGTGAAGCCTTTGCTCTCTGCTGCAAGGACAACCTAGTACTTACATCTTGGGAAGAATTTAGGCAATACATAAGAGCCATTAAAACACCCAAACTTTAAACCCATTTCTAAGAGTATTATTAAGAAGTTAACACACATAACATTGTAGACATGAGAGTATTCTTGGCACTAGCCTGCTTTCCCATGAGAGAGAATGTGTAACATTCTTTGCACGCTACAAAAACTGTCTCATGTTTACTCATTCTATCAGGTCCCAACCTTCTTTTGTTGTAATCGATATTCACATTTTGTTGTAATTAATATTCACATTTCATTAGTTTGGTTTGTAGCTTTGTGCTCCATACTTTATTTTCCTAAGTCTTGCTGAAATCGGGCAGCCTCTCTTGAGGAACATTTTAGAAAATATTCAAAGCTCTTTGGAGAAAAGCCAGAGTGTCTTGTTCCAGAAAAACACAATGCTGTGTTTGAGAAAACACCATGTTGTAAACTGGAATGTGGGGGAGCTATGAAAATCTATCTGCGTTATGCGCCCTGAACATCTGGCTTTACTCCAAAAGGCCAAACCTTATCTGAACTGCGATTTTCCTCCTAGAAAATGTCAATGGTCAAAGCTTAAGATTCTTCTCTAATTGGGTTAACCCATTATCTTGGAATAGCACATTTTATTGAGCAATCAATCACTTGCCGAAGGATTTTGACTGAGTGTGTTGTTTATTGCAGGGTGATGCTCAGAAAGGAGAAACTGGAGAAAGAGGACCTGGGGTATGTGAAAAATTGGAATGCTTTTCTGAAGGGTGATCCTGGGATTCTGTGACTGCCTGGCTTGACCCTGCAATGTAATTGCAAAGTTGATTCTTTAGGGCTCCAGCAGGCAACCAGACAGATATGATCTCAGCATTAGAACTATGAAGAGAAAATACTCTGATCAACAGAGTGATGATGGGACCTATGACACTCGCTAATGGCCAACTAAACTTTATGAAAAACTCAGATGACAAAGGCACTTTGCTCTACTTCTTGTGGGCATTTTCTTTGTTTAATGATAAAAAAATAAGCTAGAATTTTGAAAGTGTAAGAATCATATTGTCTAAACTATATCTTTGTCAATTCAGTTCTGTTGGCAAAAATAACTGTATCATTCTGTTTGGTTTCTTGAGATTGCTTGGGAAATAATTATGGTCCATTAAAATATTTTTAATTATATCTTCTAGGGCATTCAGTAAGGATAGCAAATAGTAACACTGACAGTAACAAGCAGGGGTTGTGTTGTGTTGCCTCTTTTTGCTTATCCCCTCGGTTACAGTGAGCAGTCAGTCACAGAATTGGAAGCAGAGGTTTAAGAAGCTGGTCTCTTAGAGTTCTTAATTAGTCACATGTAACCATCTGACAGAAAGCTCAATGCCATTGGTAGGAGTTTGCTGAGAACTTCTGCTACCTGTTCAGGGAACTTGTCTTAGTTGTCTTCTATATTACCAGTACTGGCTTTCTCTAGGTGATGGGAAGCTCCTGAAACCTGAGGTGAGGTAAATAACTCAAGAGTTGTGAATGTAAAATGGAAGCTTGGAGTGGAAACAAAGAGGAGAGAGGAAACTGAGATAATTATAAGATCTGACCCCTTTAAAAACTTGAAAGATGATGGATTAGAAATCAGAAACTTTTTATTCCTAGAAATGAGAAAATCAGAAACTTGGCAGAGACTGGCAATGCAATTTGGTATGTTTTAAACTGGAACATTTTAAAGCCAGTGATTAAGAGGTCCTGAAAGGGAAAAACATACAAACAAATAAATGAAACCCTGATAAGATGACCAACTGATAAGTGACAGAAATTTTGGAAGTAAATAAGAATATTCCATGAACAAAGTTTGTGCAGAGCTCTTTTGGCTCTTTCCAAAATCTATTCTTCCATCTTTCAACATGAATATCAAAAATTTTAAGTATTTGGGCATTGTATTGGGTAGTGGATTGCCCAAGAATTCTGAAATGAGAAGCCTACATATTTTTTGGTGTATTAAATGTGGATGATTTTTGCAGGAAATACCAAATTAACTGAGTATAATGCAGTCTTAAATTTTAAGCACCATCTTAGAAATTGAACAACTTATGCGAACAAATATTTCTACACTGGCTTAAATTACACTGTCACTCTGTTTTTTTTTTTTTTGTTAACTCCATCTTCAGCTTTTATTACTAAATACCCATTAATTCAGAAAGAAGTATTATTTCTTCTCTGAAGTTTCTATTTGGAAATATTACACATGCGATGAAATAAAAATTTTGTAGGCTTCATGTATAACTGCAGTATTACCTCATGTATGCTGTTGGTTTCTCCAGCTTGTATTAAATATGTCTTACAGTTCTATTTCTTGAAAATATAGTTGTAGAGTAGTGATGGAAAGGACTTGCTGTTTCTTGGAGATGGGCAATTTCCCAGTCCATTTAATACCCAGAATTGTGTCTATTAGAGCGCTTATGGGAATGACACAGTGGAAAGGGCTCCTCAGGATTCCGATGAGTGACTCAGAGGACAGCCGAGGTGCTGGCATCTCACTTAGCGTGAGATGAAAACCAATAACTCAAAGGTCACTGACTCATTAGGGCTGCTAGAGGAACCATTCATTTCGCTGATGTTATACATTTTAGACTCAATGTGAAGGGAAGACCACGATGGATACAGACATTTACAAATATTTTAAAGGGTATCTTCTCAGTTCATTTCAAAGCCAGTTTCTCTAACTGACCCTGAGAAACATTTAGCTGAAATAGTTTAATAGTTTTAAAGTCAATACAACAGTTTGAAAGTACTGTTATTGATCATCATGTCCACAATGACTTTCAGTGTACATTCTCTCCTTTGGTTTTGGGCCAGAGGGTAATAAATTGGATTTGAAACAGAAAAGTCTGGAACTGAGAATAGAATACAACAGGGAAACATAGGCTCATCCTTCTCCTTAGTAACAGCACGTTCCCAAGCTCAGGGAGATATAAAGCAGCTTGCACTTATGTGGTCTTCCAAGACTTGCTGATGGGATTCGTTCCACCTTGTATACGAAAACTATCTAGTGCTTCCTCTAATGCTGTTTATAATACCTTACTTTACCTTTCATTTTCTCTTTTAAACTAGGGAATTCCTGGCTACAAGGGTGACAAGGTAAGTCGGTAACAACCAGTTGAGCAGAAATTAGAAAGAAAAACATAAACATAGTGTATTTACCTACTACTATTGCCCTTCCTCATTTCTAAGTACTCTCTTAAGTCAGTTAAGTGTAGACTACTAATGAAAAATAAGATATGGCTATGAGTTGTAGAGGTAGAAGCACCCCTAAGATTCTAGTGTCCCTCTAACTGCAAATATGATTTTTTTTTTAATTGAAGAACCTGATTTGACAACAATAACAATAAAAAAGCAACACAGGTTTTCAGATGAAAATTTCCTCCCTGCAAACAAATGCAGCAAAGCTAACATTCGAGTAAGTAGCTGTATTGTTGCTTACGTTCTATGAGAACCCAGATTCTGACAATCTCCCTTGGGAAAGAGAGGGTTGATTCTGGGTAAGAAATAAAGAACTGTTGATCTAAAAAACTAAGAGCTTGCAGAAGGAGCAGGTTTGACATGTAAACAAATGGTATAAGTTGGTGGATAATTAGCTGGGTGGTAGTGGCACATGTCTTTAGTCCCAACACTCGGGAGGCAGAGGCAGGTGTATCTCTGTGAGTTCCAGACCAGCCTGGCCTACAAGAGCTACTTCCAGGAAAGGTTTCAAAGCTACACAGAGAAGCCCTGTCTCGAAAAACAAACAAACAAACAAACAAACAACAACAAAATGTAGGTAATTTCAAGATTATTTGCAAATTACAAACAAGGAAATTAAAGTGCTTTCAAAATAACCTAAAAAGTTACACTGGGTGCAGAATTCTCTGAGAGTACTCAGTCATTCACTGATTCAACTGTCTTACAGTTTTGTATGAGCAGATTTTTGTTTGAGTCAGAATGTGTTCATATTATCCATTCTAATTGTACAGAGCATAGGCCACAGACTTGGGCAACAAGGTTGCAATTTTAGTGGGTTTCGAGTATCCTTGGCTTCCCCATTTCCTAAGAAGTCGGAAGTTAACAGTTTGTGAATCTTGCACCATCTTTCTATTTGATAGACAAAAGCTCAAGAGTTCTTGCAAAATGGCTGAAGCCTGCTAGGTCTTACATAAACCTTTCCCATATCAACTACTTCCTAAGTCTGAGAGGAACCAAGCTGTGGCTGCCTGTAGCAGTAGTGGAATTCAGGCAGGAAGCACTTTAAGGCTTACAGCTTCTCTTCTTGTGGAAAGAGCAGGCTATAGGAAGTCCAGGGCTTTGAGTTTGGGGCTTGGAATGCATAGATATTTAAGCAATCTATCTGTTGTTCTTTGTTTGATTTTTGCAAGCCAGATCGTCGCGTATCCCAAGGTGGCCTCCAACATGCCATGTAGTGGAGGATGACCTTGAACTTCCTCTACTTCCTATGTTGGGGTTACCAGTGTCTTCTGACACTTCCAGTTCATCTGGTGCTGGGGATGTAACCCAGAACTCCAAACATGTTGGGCCAGCACCCTGTCAATTGAGCTGTATCTCAACTCATTTTATTGCTTTTTTATAAGTACATTTTTTCAAGTAGGAGGCCATAACATTAACTTGAGAGCTGGATTCATAATGTTGCAGTATCTTGAAACATGATATATGGGCTTCTGCTTGTACTCTTTGGATCTGAACCCCACAAACAGTAGGGGAGAATTTACACATAGGTCTATAAAGTATTGCTCCAGCATTGGTATGCCAAAAAGAGGGAGGTTAAGACATCCCATGTTTTCTAACTCAGCATCTAGGAAAACATGAGAAGCTCAAGATACTAGGTTGACTATTTCTTCTTCTACATGAAGCTGAATTAACACAGGCCTGAGTGATATACATAACTATTGGACACTCAGATGGAATAATGGGTATGACAATGTATTGTAAACTGTTTTCTGGTTCATAAATGTAAAGTGTTATTATAAAAAGGAAAGAGAAAGATGTTAATAAAATTTATATTTGTGAAATTTTTAAAATTCAATAAATATAAGGTTATCTTACATATGGTTGAGGAAAACTCATGGATGAACCTCCTCATCTTGAAGTGTGTGTGTGTGTGTGTGTGTGTAGATTCATTCAGCCTCCTGGGGAATTACAGACTTACTGGAAGAGTTTTTTTTTTCACTTGGAAAATACAAGCTGTCAGAGAAAGTGGCTCAGATCAGTTGACACTCTGACCAAGATTCAAGGTTGACTCATGAGGGACAGCGTTAGGAACTTGAGGCTGGGACAGGGCAGATATGTTCAAAGCTACCTGAAGCTTTGTGTGATTGTGGTCATTCTATGGATGTTCATGAGCCCACAAAAGAAAAAAAAAACTGCCTTTGCTGAGGCAAATTAAATGGAGACAATATTTTCATTGATAGAAGTCTGCCCAGGAAACAAATACTGTTCCTCTGGACCCCATTGCTAACAAATCTGTCTGTAGACAAATGGAATGTGAATTCTGGCCAAAGGAATTTTGAGTGTATTTATGGTAGTTTTCTATTTGGTATTTTGGTCACTTTGTTCCCATCCAACACTAGGAAATTAATTGTATACTCTAATTGAGACTTCAAGAGTCATTTTTCCACTTACATTCTGAAATAAATGTTTGACTTGTTCTCGGTGAAAACTTCAGTTTTTCCTGGGTCGGGTTGACTCACAGGCTGTGGTGAGAAAAGATCACCTACGAGCTGAGCACAGCTGGCTGTGAGAGCGGCACTTTCCTCCCTTCTGCCCAGATGCTAGCAGGAGCTGGGCAGTGCCCTGTGTGGAGGGTCAGGTGAACGCAAGTAACTTATGGCCCATGGCAGTGTGCCTTGCTGAGCTGTGGGTGATTGATAACATGGACTTGGAAGTCTAACACAGTCAAGTTTGTAGTCATGGCAATGTAATGTCTCTGAGCTTGTATTCCCTTCAGATGACTGGGGCATGTATGTAAATGCTGACATGAATATGTTGTGAAGATGTGTAGTCATAGAAAGGCTCAGGCACAAAGTTTGTGCCCATAACTGGTGATTACAGTAGTGCTACTCAGTGTGTGGCACACAGCCTGGCATCCAGTTTAGTTGATATCAGGCAATAAGATAGAGCTTGCACAAGAATATGAATACATCGTATTACTAAGTCCAGGACTTCTGCTGTATCTAGTACAATGCATCATTGTATATCATTAAGACGCTGGGGTTTCAGCTACATACTTTCATAGTTTGGCTTCCTCTAAAGAGAAGCGATGCACCAAATTAGATTCTAGTGTGATTTTCTCATGTCGCTGTGCACTGGCACAATTAGCAACATGTCCTAGAGCAGGACAAAGATAATAAGACAAGTAGAAGCAGGGCTTAAATGAAGGCTCTGAACTTCTCGAAGCTGACATGTAAACAAGCCATCAACCGCTTCAGTCCAGTTTCCTTCCTTTAGCAATAGGCATTGATTTGATGCTTGGAATAAAGATACACATGGAATCGTTGTTAGGTGCTAAAGAGTCTTATTAACAACAGATGTTAACATTTTGAGGAAACATGAGTCTTTTCTGTCTAATTGTCTGGTACTTTTCAATTCTAACTACTACAAGTTTGAAAAGACTGAGATAATGGGTTCAGAGGTTCTCAATTCTCCTGCACAACTGTAAAACTTGTAAAAAGATAAGTAATTAAATTCAATGTTTTGATTGTGAAAATTATATTTTTGTATGATATTATACTTTCAATTTGTATGCATTATAAAATGGTTACATTGATATCAAGAACTTATCACCACATTTGTCATTTCTTATAATGGCAACACTTTAAATTTATCCTTTAAATAATTAAGAGAGTAAAATTGTTATTATCTATAGCCATCTTACACAATACATCTTTTGTTTATATCACTAGACCTACAATAGACCTTTTGAACTAATTGCTCTCATCTATATAAAGCCTTGTGTCTTTTGGTTGGTCTCACTAAGCCCCCATGTGTTGTCTCTGATAACCACCATTCTCTCTGCTTCTATGAATTCGTCATTTTTATATTACATATAAGTACATATAAGTACAATCATGGGAGTGTTTGTTTTTGCATTTATTTATTTTATTTAATGTATGTCCTAGATTAATTTATGTTGTCAGAAATGGGATTTCATTCCTTTAAGCTGAGTGGTATTCTCTCTCTCTCTCTCTCTTTCTTTCTGCGTGTGTGTGTATGCATGGGTGTGTGTATGTGTGTGTGTGTGCGCATCACATTTCCTAAACTGATTTGAAACAAAATTGTTCTGTCTATAAAGTTAAACTAAGATTTATCTAAAGCAGTAAAAGTCAGGTAATATCAGCAAAATACTGTTATAAATTCTGGAGCATAATTTTAATGTTAGTTTTTGTGGTAACGTTCTAGGTAGATAGTTCAATGGATGTAATAAAGAAAGCTTTACAGCATGCTCAGCAGTGGACCCATTTTCCTCTGGAGAATCTTGCTAACTCGTCATGACTGCCTTCTCCAGATATAATATTGTCTAGTCATAGAATCTTTCTAATAGTTTTCTACTCTAATGCTACTAAGTAACTGATCAAGGTCAGTATTCAGACTGGAACATGGCATTGTGAAAAATATAGGGACTTTCAGTTAAAGTGAGAACTGGGCTAAATCCTGATTCTATTCTATACTTGCTATATGATTATATATATATATATATATATATATATATATATATTGTATACTAGCTATATGATTGAGGGACAATACTTCAGAGAGTTTACATTTTCCTGGTTGTAAGAGCAGAATTATAAAGCTAATTTCATTTATGTATCACTTGGAATCAGATCACTATACAAAGAGAGAGAAACATGGTAGTTATTTTCCTTCAAATTCCATTTCTCTCTCAAAGCTGCAAGCCCTTATTAAGTGGTACCACTGATTTGAATAACTTTAGAATAAATTAGGATAAATGGTGTGATATTGTATAACATGTCCACTTTGTATAATTATGCTAAGATTCTTTTTCTAAAACTTGGAATATTGAAGATTGCCAATATTTTATTTATTTATGTATTTATGTATTTATTTGTAGGGTGAACGAGGAGAATGTGGAAAACCAGGCATGAAAGGTGACAAAGTAAGAAATACCATTTTAAAATGATAACAGTTGTAATCCCCTTTGTCTTGAGTTTCCTTCATAAAAAAATTCCTGGGATGAATTATGTGGGTCTCTCCTTGCGATGGAGTTCAGTTTTCACATCTGAAACATGTATAAACTGAAGTAAACACACAAACATGAAGTAGGAAACCAAAGAATACATAACTCAGGGCCATTAAGGCCATTTTGTGACATCCCAGTCATTGAGGTCAGTCCTGTTGAACATTGTGGTTGGAAGAATAGCCAGCAAGTCAATGCAAGGTGCAGTTGGGTGCACTGGAAAGGCCTTCTAATGCAATTTCACACAGAAGAGTGAAAAATGCTTTGAAGTTAGTGAAATTATAGGAAGCATGTGACAAAAATAGACAAGGGTTTGAAATTTAGGAAATGCAGCAAGACATAAACAATAGTAATAACTGTTTACCTTAGTTCAATATAGATATGAATAAGGAACTTAAACTATTCAACTTAGCATGATAAAGACTTTGTTAATAGAGACAAACTACACAGACAGTGTAGTTACAATTATACATGATCCCCAAAGTCTTAGAATCAAAATAGTGACCATTCCAATTAAGAAGTATTGAGTATGAAGGCTAAAAAGAAAGTGAAATATAAAACATCTGAGTTATTTGTATGAATGGTAGTGACAAGAGAAAATAGGCAGAGGTTGAGGAGGAGGAAAAAAATAATGATCCTGACTTGTTGAATAACTTGATCTTTCCTGGAAGCTGACAAACTACTGTAGAGCTGTAGACAGGCAGTTGCAGGCTTGGTGATTATTTCTGAGTAAATCAAAGTGAGACAATGAAAACATTTGAATGAGAGAAGGGCGCAGGAATTTTTAAGTACAGAAGAAAGAATTCATGGAATAGAAAAAAGATGAAAGCCAAATACTTGGGGAAGTATTATGAGATAAAAATGGTTGACAAGTAATCAGTATGTTTCATTAACTAAGATGCTAGATATTGTAAAATGCTACATTATTTTCTGTGCCAAAAGAAAAATACTGCCAATTTATAAGATATGATCCATTTCAAGTATATCTAAATGTTAAGATATAAAATATGAATATATATGTATATATAGCATTCATAAAATATGGCATCCTTGATATGAAGCATTCACACAATTTTATAAAAAATATGTGTGAAAATATGAAGAGACCAGGAGAAACATAAATAAGAAAACCATCCAAATATACCTACAATCAAAGAAGTGAAATTAAGTCATTACTATCACTTTACACATCAAATCAGAAAACAGCAAGGGAATAGATGATACTTAATCTTGATTAAAGTCCCATAAGATTAAATATATATGTATATGTATATATGTGTAGATATATATGTGTGTGTATATATATATATGTATATATATATATATATGATAAACAAAGGATGACAGAGTCTTTAGTTGTCTCTGCTTCAGTAGTCATTGTCTAGAATCCTTAAGCATGAATCAGAACAGGACAAATATGTAAATACATACATCAATTCTAAGGTTATTTAAAATAGCATACATCAGGAAATCACTTTACTGTCAAAATTAGGGAATAATTAGCAAATTATGGCAGTCCCTGGTTCTTAACAAATAATTTGCAAAAAGGCTGAAAGCTTGGAAAAGGTAATCTAGACTGCATTGTAGTTACACAAAATAAATTGTAAATCTATTTTGAGATATGGGACATATTGAAGTATTTTGGAAGGTCATTGACTCTAAAAAAGTGGTGTGTCACATTCCTAGTTGGGGAAAGGAGTAATCTAGTCATCAAACAGGCTCATTGATGGCTGATTTAATGACATTGGTTTGCTGGAAGGAAATGATGTTCCACTAACTACAGGAGTTTCTACACTTAATAGAATGTTCTAAGGATCATTGTGAAGCAAGTCCCTTCCTTTGAACCAAATATCAACATATAGGCTAAATAGTGACATGCTAAGCTGGATTTTCTTGGAGTTTATTTATTGAAGCAAGTTTGACTCTTAGGTCTCTTGTTAATTGGGATCACTGGGATCGTTTCAGTTCATTCTCTTTGATGTCTGAATAAGCAGGGAAGAGTGAATGTCACCCATAACATACTTTTTAAATAAAATCTATGCTTTATGAAGGTGGATGATTAGAGAGACTTAACATTAATTTTACCCAACAGGGACCTCCAGGGCCATATGGACCAAAGGGACCCAGAGGAATTCAGGTAAGGAGGTGAAAAGAAAATCCATGTTTGAACTAGATTAACCTTGGGATAATCTTTGAATAACAAACAATAACCACCACTGATTTGGCCCATTTGCACCATCTTAGTTAAATTAGAGTGGCTAGGAATTGCATCCAGGAATCAGTATTTTATAAGAACTCCCAGATGATTCCAGTATGTAACCAAGTTTGAAAACCATTTTACTAATTTTTTTGATTAACTTGGCTGTCTAAAGACAGGCACCAATAGCTACCTCATCAATACACTTGATAACTCCATCTAATAAATAGCTAAGAAAATGGAAAATAATTTACATGAGGAAAGTCAGGAAAGTATGATAAAGAAGTAGTTATTGTTTCTATAATGGTAGTTATAAGAGTTGTACATTTTTTTCCTAAATTTATTTATCTACATATTTATATTATTCCCTTCAATGCAAGTATTTAATTCCTGAAAATATGAAATGGGTCTACAACTTAGTTATTTACTGTGGACCCTAGAAAATAATTTGGATCAATTTTCTCAGTGAAGGGACTAGTCTCTTCTAAAGTAACAGTGGATGCAGATGAGTTTGAAGAAGTAATTGCAGCATTGCAAAAACTCTACTGAAGGTCTAGAGATACAGCTCAGTGGTTACCAGGCAAGCACAAAGTGCTGGCCTCAATCCTTGGCACCACAAAAACAATACAAAACAAGGATAAAAATCAAGCCAACAAAATGCCCCTCCCCAGATAGGATGAAAGTTATGTTTTAACCCAAGAATTCTTAGGCTATATCCAGTTAGCCAGCTTTTTCATTTTGGCCTGTGTTTGCCAGAGGAAGGCTGTGACTGGCATTGCAGACTTGTTGCAAATGACAGCTTTCGATGGTCTGCTTAGATATATTTAAAAAGTTGTTTGATAGGCAAAAATCTTTTTTTTAAAAAGTGGAACTCGACACAGGAAGATTAAATACACAGGCTTAGAAAACAAATGTCCTATTCAAAGTATGTTTGTTTTTAGTATTATTGTTTTAAAAGCTACTAATTTGACTCAAGGAGTTCATCCTATGCAGTTTTTCCTTTGAATGTGATCCCAAAGTAGATCAGAGCCTCACAGTCAGGCTACTGACACAGGATCCCCCAGGAACGCTAATAATTGCTTGTTCTTCCTTGGTTGGCCTTCTAGAGTTTGGAACATAAATTAATTCATGGTTTTCATCTTGGAGCAGGGCATTGGAGGACCTCCAGGGGAACCAGGCCCAAAGGGATTTCAAGGGAATAAGGTAATTTTTTTCTGAATTTTGAGATGGGAAAAGTGCCATTCCCTAGTGCACTGTGCTACTGTGAGTTTTATTAGACAGGAATCAGTTAAATCTTTGAAAAGTGCCTCTGGAAATACTTAGTAACTTGCAGTTGTCTGCACAGGGTCAGGCTCAAGTACATACAGAGAGGCAGTGATATCCATTTATCATTTACTACTTTATTATTCAGGGGCATTATTAACTATGAGGAATCACCCGGCATCGTTGATATGTTTCTGTCTTACTCTTGATGCCTGGTATTTATGATTCACTGGGAACTGAAAAACAGCACCATTCAATGTGACTCCAGCCATTCCGTTTTCCTCCTAGTAACTGTCCCCACATACAGTTTAGTAGAGGATAGGATTTATGACTGGCATAAAAATGGAAACCAGCAATCTCAACCATCAACACCGTGTTTGTGACAACATCCCATAGATAATCCAGTATGATAGAGGGGAGGTGTGGGATAAGAGCCAAATAGCATCCAAAGATTATCTAAAGGGGAGGGTGCTGAAGGACCTGGTTATAGCACTTCCTTTCCTATGTCTGGGTACTTATTACCTGGAAACAACGTTTCTATTTCTTTTTCAACTCTTTTGAATGATTAGTAAATTTCATAGGTGTAATAAATGCACAGTAACGTATCCACAGATGTAGTGAAGGGAGTTGTGTAGAATATTTTGGCAACTATTGGCTGCAGAAGATGCCATTCTCCATTGACCCTCAATAAAGGTCATCTTTTGAAGATGGTGTTAACTTTAAGTTATAGAGAGCAGTTGGGCTACTTGAGTGTTAATTCTCCAGAGGGTAGGAAGGGAGTGACGAGTATGTATTTTTAATGAGATAATGACAATCTGAGATTTCCCAGGCCACTTTTAATTGGCAAATTAAAATAGAATAGGCCTCTCAGCAGGAGCAGGCTTGAGATTCATCTAGGGAAATGTCTTTTCCAGTCCTTGCCTATGATTAATTCTCTCTGGGGAAAAAAATGGCTCTGTTGAATACTGAGTAGTTTTCATGAGATTGCTTCAGCTGTAGGTAAAATCCTGCCAAAAGAAGAACCATACGCATCTTGACAGTGCATATATATTTCTAGGAATCATTGGTCAAGCGAGATGCTAATTTTTACATTTGTAAAACAGAGGCTTAAACTAGGGTGTCAGGGCAGAGGTTTGTAAAAGTGGCAGAAATACAGGACGGATGAGCCACAAAGGATGTGAGGGATTGTGCTGGCCTCACACTGTCATTTTGGAAAGGAGAACTAGGCCTAGAGGTGACCAGTGCATATGAGGCAGGGGCGGGGGCGGGGGCGGGGGCGGGGACGGGGGTGAGGGGGTTGAGGAGTGGGAGGTGGGGCTGTCAGTTTCACAAGGTACTAAAGAGGAGGAAACAGTGAGGACAGTGGTGATGGCTATGGTAGTGATGGTGTGTGAAGAAAGGTCCATAAAAAGTTATTATTATCTGGAATTTAAGGCACATGCCACTACCGCCCAGCCCATCACTGTTTTAAAATGCCTAATAGACTCTCTACTTAGGATTTTTTTGTTTGTTTGTTTGTTCATTGTTTTTTAAGAAGTAAACCATTTTTCATAAATGCCTAATAGACTCTCTACTTAGGATTTGTTTGTTTGTTTGTTTGTTCATTGTTTTTTAAGAAGTAAACCATTTTTCATAAACTTTAGACTTTTAGTTCTAGCAATATCCCGACTTTTAATATATGATACTTCTTTCTGGGGAGGGATGATTATAATGGAAAGAATAGCCCTGTGCTTGGTTCTCATGGCATATTCAAGAAGGGAATCATATTCCCAACAATATTTGATGATTTCGTCAAATTTTATCTTCAGAACATTTTCATCTTAAGAAACATTTTTATTTCTTATTTTTTGGGGGGATTGTTTTTATATGGGGAGGTTGTTTTTGAGACAGGGGCTTACACAACCTTGGTTGACCTAGGATTTAATATATAGACTGGAGAGGACTTGAACTCCGCAGAGATCTGCCTGCCTCTGCTTGTTCTGGGACTAAAGATGTGTGCCCTTCAGGAATATTTTTAAGTTTAAAAATTCCAATTGAAATTTAGTTGTGATAAATTATACATGGCATAAAATTACTTAGACTCTCTTCCATCCCCCATCTCCTTTTTCTCCCTCGCTGCATTTTTCTACTCTTCCCTCCCTCTCCATCATCATCATCACCATCATCATCATCATCATCATTATTATTACTGACATGGACTTAATCTGAAGTCCAGGTTGCCCTTGAACTCAGATCATCCTGCCTCTACCACAAAGTTGGCAACCAATTAAAAAATGCTAATTTCAGCCAGACTCATCATTCTATCTACTCTGGTGGGTGAGACAGGAAGACCACAAGGCCAGTTTGGGCAATTTAATCAGACTTTGTTTCAAAATTAAAATAATTAAATAAAATAAAAGGAAAGTGAGAGAACTTGGCTATAGTTCAGTGGTTGAATACTTATTTAGTATATAAGGCCCTGGTTTAAATCCCCATCACATACAGACATGCACACACACACACACACACACACACACACGCACGCACGCACGCACGCATGCACGCACACACACACACACACACACACACACACACACACACACACACACCACACACACACGAGCTGGGACAATTCTAGGAAACAATTTGGGTATTACTTAGAAACCGTGTGGTAGACATGAGTTTCTTTGTCTATCTTTAGTTATATTTCTCATTCCAGGTAATAAATGTAGTAGTGTCTCCTCTTCCTCCTCCTCCTTTTTATTTTCTTCTTCCTCCTCCACCTTATATTTCTTATTCTTTCCTATTTATTTCATGCTATGGCTATTTGCCTATATGTATGAATCTCCTTGAAACTGGAGTTACATGCAGACAGGTGTGAGATATCATGTGGGTGCTGGGAACTGAACTAGTATCCTCTGGAAGAGTTGCAAGTGCTTTAAAATGCTGGTCCATCTCTCTAGTACCTGTTCTTTTAATCTTTGTTTTGAAATTATTAGCATTTTCTTGCAATTTTTAATATTTGTGGGCCTGTTAGTCAGAGGGATACCTTAAGAATAAGGTTTGGGGGAACAATCCCATCTTGCCTCTTAGGCTATGCTTCTAAATTGCGAACATGTAATAAACAGTTGTTCTTCAGTCTGAAAATCATGTTATATTGAATATTATATTGATTTCTTTCTTCTCATAAATATTTTTAAGAAATTGTGGTTGAAATTTATGAAAAAGTCTCTAAAGTCAAGCATTCTGTATTTTTTCTAATGGGCATAGGCAAGATTACTTATTCTCACATGTCTATAATCATAGCTAACATTTATTGTACATTTCTTAAGTGACATGTACAGTTTTTAGTATGCTGCTGCCAATATTGCCTCCTGAGGCATGATTTATCCTTATAGCCACTATACAAATGAAGCTTCTGAGGTTCCAAGAATGTAAGCAATGTTCTCGGGTCCTTAGAGCCAGAAAACACCACCACCCAGGGATAAAGACTGCCTTTATCCGTGCTATGCTGTTACCCTCCTTCAGGAAACAAATGCTGAATTTCCTGAACATTTGACCGAGATCAAGGTGTTTCTTATAGTCAACATGGAAATTATGCCTCTCTTCTCTCACAGTCCATTCTAAATGTGAGAAACAGTTTGTTGAGAAGGCATGTCTTTTTGTTTATGAAATCACAGGAAAGAAAGAAGGAAAATTGCCTGGAAAAAAAAAGTGTTCCAACTACATTTTCAAGTACTGTGTCTCTAACAGACCAAAACAGAAATTGTACACTTACAACATTCAAAAAGATTCTGTGAGAGTTTCTAGATGGGGCCTGCCGATGAGTTTGAGTTTATGAATGGTGTTGCTCATGAACTACAAAACACTGTTTCTTGTTCTGGGATTGGATTTTCTTCATCAAAGGCCTCCTCAACCCACAGAAGGTGGTCAAAGAGCAAAAAGGAAAAAAAAATACATGTGCTAAATCAGGAAAAATGTGCCTCTGGCCCAGTTTCACCAATCATTTCTGCCGTTAATACTTTCCACAAGGAAATTAACTCATTCTGCCCAAATACTCTTGTTGCCATAGCAACAAAACATAGATGTTTCTTAGAAGGAAGCCTTGGTTCAGAGGCCTCAGGCTCTTCCATTGATAAGATCATATAATAGAAATAGAAGAACATCCCAACAGTCTTTGAAATCATTACAAGTATAATTATGGAAGTGCCTGAAATGCCTTATTCTTGGGACCAAGCTGAACTTATAACTCAGGAGATACTAGAGCCCTAGGGACATAGTACTGTCAGCATTCTCAAGGCCACTGTGGTTGGCCTAGGCTGCAATCAATGGGGCCCTCCCTCTGCTAGCTAGCTAGATTGCATCAAGATGGGGGGGGTCGATATTTGTAAATAATTCTGAACAAACAGGCACAGTAAATTCTGAACAAACAAGAGTAAATGAGCTGTTCTTGCTGGATCTCGAGACATTTCGGAGGTTATTTTTAAGGGATTTTTTTTTTCAAACCTCATGCAAATCTGTTCTAGTATTCTATCTGAGGGAAAGGACTGCATTATGGCATTATGTGGAACTGTCTGTGACACTCAAAGGTGCCTCACAGTAGAGCCTAGAGATCATGGCCCAAAGAGTACAAGTGACCAACACCTCTGTTGCCTCTCCCAAGGAAAAGTACTATATGTACCTCAAACTACTGAAATTGGTGATATTAATATCACATCACACGAACCTATCTTCAGAGGTGGTATCTTCCATATTCCTCCTTACATTGTTCTAGAATATCCAAAACATTTTCCAAACAATTTTTCTTGGGGTTTTCTTCTTTCTCTTTAGGTTCAAGTATAAGAAACATTAAGTACTCTTACATAGGAGACTTAGTCTTTATGTTCAGTTTAGCTTCAGAGATACTAAGAAAACTTGAGAAAGTAGGAGGGGGTAGTGGGTGGTGCAGGGAATTGTATGAC